CTTCCCGAATTCCATCGGTGGCAGTGGCAAAGAGTTGGAGGAACAGGTAGTGGCCAAAAAACACTTCAGCTGCCATTTTTAGACAGTATTAATCACACTTTGCTGAATTCAGATCGACTGGCCCATTAATATCAGAAGGCACATCCTTTCGTATAAATATACATTATAATTACATTATATAGCTAATTCAATTGAAAAATTTCGCCGTGGGAACGCTTGGACACGTTCGAGCTATAACGTGGTCCTTGACGGATCACGGACTGCGACGTGATCTGAAACGCTGGTCGGAAGTTACCTAACATATTTAGAGCTTGTTCCTGAGAAGCGATCTTTGAGCGACCCGATTAAAGAAACGCCGGCTGGAATCATTGCGGTAGGTCTCCTTAAGCTAAATGGTGATGGAGGATACGTCGATATCTTGAGGACGATGAGGGCAGCGGAGAAGCCTTGGCGTACTACTTAATGGGAGAACATCCAAGGTATTTTGTTGCAAAAACACAACACAGGTACCCTGTAACCGAGAAAACGTTTTGATGATGTGCGCCATGGCAAAGTTGCCTTCTCTTTTGGCATCCCGGTTTATTTACGGTCCACCCCTTTTGCTCTGGATTGTCACCGAAACTCACCGCGTGCCCCTCTGTTTTGTTCAATGAAAAAGCTCACGTTTAGTGGAACTTATAATGTGCATAATAATGCATGTGAGTAAGCAGCACTAAAAATTATCCAAACTTCAAATTAGTTACCTTGGGATGTGCCTCGATTAGGATGTGAGCAGCGCTCAGAATCACTCGCGTGCTGCAATACGTCACTGGCGACAATAAGCTCACCCCTTCTCACAGATCGGCGGTAAACAGGTTCATAGCGATGGGGAAAACATGGCTTGCATGGCCTCACAAGTAGAAAATGAAACCTATTGGGGTGGTGAAACTTTTTCGACTCTGGAATGCGAACGCCGCGAGAAAGTGTTCAATATTCAGATCAGAGGATAAAAATGATAAATTATAGGACAAGAGCAAGTTGCCTTTTCGAAGAAAAAGTGTAAACATGAAATGAATTCCGAGCGTAAATTCCTGTAGAGTCAAGCGGCGCCTCTCATCATGCGCACGATCAGAGAGTCCAGTCTCGACGCCAGCTATCACCGCAAGGCCCACCAAGCCTCTTTCTGGTTCAGCTAGTGGTGGCCAAGACCGAAGTTCTCCAACGTCGGTGTTCCATTAGAGGAAAAAATCGCTAAATTCGCGAAGTGTGACATCGGGCTCACATTAATGGAGGAGCACAATCAACAGTGGCAATGGGTAGGCATCATACTTATTTTGTCAACTAGCCTACGGAAGATGGTATTAATGGTTTGTCCTTGGAAGAAATGTCTAGCTAGATACGCACTGCTCACTTCCGACATATCGTCTTTTCACACCTTTTTTGTACATATCAAAAGTTCGAGTCGAAGGGTGCATTACGCGCCCGCATTGATAATCCTTGGTGGAGCGCGAGGTTTTGTTGAGAGGCATTGCTCTTCCGACAGACTAGCAGGATGGTACGAAGTCCAGTATTTCAACAGTGATTACAAGTAGGATGATAATTGAGTAAAAAAAACGCGAAAAATATTCAAAATTATAGAAATAAATTTCATCAGTCCAAGAGAAAAATGTGCGATTGGGGAGGGCCATTTTGAGTGATTTGCGAAAGCGTTGAGAAAAATGTACGTGGAACCGAAAAAGCCAAGCGTAGCGGATGGATCAACGAGGGGGATCAGTGATCGGAACAGCTACACGTACGAACTGGGTGACCAAGGGAGATCCAGTCGACGGTCGCCTCTGTCATCGTCGTCGTCGTAGTCGCTCACGTAATCGCTTGCGCTTGCGAAAGCGTAGCGATTTAATCTCAAATTCTCCTCATAAACATCCGCTCAAACGAAGCCGAACTGGATCGTAGACATTTCCAATTACGTGCCGATGGATGCGACGCACAGACGCTCAACGACTGACCGAGGCAAAATGGAGGGTTAAATGGTCCGGTTCGAGCGCTTTTTCACCTTAGCAGATGACTTGTGCTCGAACGGGGTAGACACAGAAAAAAGCCGTGGCGAACGGAGGTTCTAACCAGCAATTCCTTCAAAAAAGAAACTCGTAGCAGACCGGTCCACTTGCGGCAATTGTCGACAGGTTTCCGTGCAACGAGAGACGCTTTAATGACAACCTTCGGTTAAACTAGGTTCAACCTGAATGACCACCGCCTAAAAGGAATTCTCCTGTGTCCAGGACGCTGCTGAAAGTAGATCATAACTACCTATCCCTGTTCCCTGCCTCCTCCTCCTCCCTCTTCCCCTTCTCTCCTCCCCAATTATTCTTGCACAGGAAATGTTCCCTAAATCATATCCCCTCGATTGATTAACTTAAATGTGGCTGATAATAAAATATCAGGATAGAGTGTGAAACTGCTCCACAGATAGAAGAGGAATGATCCAGAAGATGAAAGCCTGTTCCACCAAAATCGTCCGCGCTGCTTCTTCTGACCTTGAAAACACGAGATCCGCGGACATGGACAAGCCGCCGTGACCGATGCAATATCTCAGGAGAATCGCCAGTGAGAGTGACAGAACCGAAACAGTCCCCAGAATACAGGGCCTTGACGAGTTTTGCCTATATCAAAGGTTTTTTGGTGTTAAAGGACCGGCGTGCCACAGATATTCGATAACCTAGCCCAATTATAGTCGGGGAAGGAGGAAAGAGAGAGGGAGAGAGGGAAGGAGAGCGATTGTTAGAGCCTTAAATATCCCGCTGGTGTAGTACGATTCTAGAGGAATAACGGATAAGATCGAAAGACAAATGGTGAAGCATTCGACGCATGGTCATTACCATTCCGGGACGCCATGAACTGACGCTACGTCCTCTCATCGGGAACTGGCATGGCCCTTAGACACGGCGTTCGGTATACAGTCGGCTTGCGAAGCCGAAGGCTCGTGCACAACTAACTAATTCTGAGTAAACGAAGGCTGAGTAGTTCTTAAGAAGTTGAGTGGGATTGGACCTTCGACCCTTGCCACAAGACGAACTCCCGGCCAAATTTATAACACTCCCAAAAAGTCCCACAGGACTTCAATTCTAAGCTGTATTCGGACATCATTTATAAGGCGGTAAGAAATGAGCGGTAAAGAAGTGGCTGAAGCTAACTGCGCCCACTGTCCATGAAGTTTTAGCTCATCCAGGCTAGCCAGTTCCTCTCTTACTCTGAGATAGATTAACTGCCAGCACGAACATGAAACCTACCACTGACCTTAACGCATCACTATATGGCTTTTTAAAGCTATCTGCGAACGGTAATTAACGGATCACGGAAGGTGAGTGAAATCTCCTTCGAAGCGTTGCTACGAAGAAATAGCTGATCAAAGAAGGCTTTCAACTCATTCTAGAACCTGGATGGAGACTTATCGTTATCCAGATGAGACCTAGTCACCAAAACTAGTAGCACAAATATGGGTGGCGGACCAAAACCTGGCTAGGGGATCTTCGGTGCAAGAGCAGGCGGGTCAAAGATTGGCAAAGAATGGCCAGCACAACGGCTAAGTTGCGGCACCAAACTGGCTCCCGTTGCCCTTATGCCATAAATGAATGTCATGCTCACGACCAAGTCATCCAATCACCGCTATACTCGAAGTTTCGGAGAGAATTAGAAATGCTTACCCGGGTTGATTAGCTCGTTCACATACTGTCGCTGCATTGCCTGCTAACTTTGACCGCTCACAACTTGCTTGGGAAGTTCGCATAGCTCTTTTAGTCCCGCATCGCATAACAGCGCATTCTTGACTGCTCGAAAGCTGGCCCAAGCCTAAACTTTTTTCGAGAGTTCGTTGCTAGCTGGCAAGGACTTTCCTGGCAAGACGGTATTGTGCCGCAGTATCTCATATTCCGTCACAGTTTCTTTTCTGAACGCGCAACAGACTGGTCAGTGGGCGTATGGTGAAACCTATTGCTTGGTTAGATCTGACAGTTATGGATAGCTTGATCCCTTCACTTCTCTTTTTCAGATCAGACATGTGTTGCCTATTGCTGAAAACGCTGCGTGACCATACAACGACAGCCTTGCATTTGTTGCCGACACGGAACGGGCTTCCCTGATAAGGGGAGTCTTTCAGGACAAGCCTCGCTTTTTCAAAACGGTTTCTTGCATATTGTAGGGACGCATGTAGGGAACACAAAACCATGTTTCATTTTCGCTGAACGGTTTTAGCAGTACCAAAAAAGAAGCATAAGGTACTGTTAAGGGTTCGATCCCCCGTGGCGACTAAATTTTGCATTTGGGTTGGCGCCTACGGTTGGTGCCAAATCGCGCTAAATGTCAAAATCAGATGTCATATTCATCGTCAGGACCATTTTGAAGCCAACAAGTGGCCGCCAACCTTGATTGCAAAATTTAGTCGCCGCGGGGGATCGAACCATCAAGAGTATTATTCACCACTTTTTTGGTACTACTAAAACCGTTCAGCGAAAACGAAACATGGTTTTGTGGTCCATACATGCGTCCCTACAATATGCAAGAAACCGTTTCGAAAAAGCGCGGCTTGCCCTGAAAGACCCTGCCTTGTGCCGGCGTCTGTTATGGAATAGAAGTTAACCTCCGCGGGTAAAATGGTATGTAGGTCAAAGTAACCATCTGTAAAGGGATATACACCACTTAGTGAGCAGCTTTACAACCAAGGAATAGGCATGTTACCGAATTCTGCCCGTAATGATCTCACTCCCATCAAATCGATAGCCTAACAGACAACAGCGATCGCAAACATTCACCAAAACAGTTTTTCACGCATTTTTTCATCGCTCAACCATGCCGCTTGCAAATTTTCTGTCCGTTTAGTATTCTCCTACGAACAAATAGAAACACCGGTGTCCTCACGTATGAGAAAAGACTGTGAATATGACGATGAAATGAAAGATGCCCTGCCAAAAAGCGCCGATCTGCTCGAAAAATCGAAAGGCGAAAGTAGAGTCCGCTTGTCGTCACTTTCACTGAACACCAATCATTAAATCGGTCTCTTGTTCATCAGCTGAACCAAGTCCAACCAGTCTTTGGACCTGAAAGTAAGGCGAAAGATTCAATCCGCGACATCTCAGGCAGACTATCAAACAGGCTAGAAAACTGCTGATGGTTCACGGCACAATCTCGCACCAACAGCGAACAGTAGCGGTCACAAGTGTTCGCGATTTTCAGTGCAATTTTTCTTGCTCGAGCAACATGCCTCCAAAAAATTGGATATAGCTATGCATGTCTCCGTGCTTTATATCCTCAATTTTGCAAAGAATCGGGATAATCAAAGCGAAAAATTTTTCAGGGCACCTTGATTTTTCACACAAAAGAAGAGATGCATGAAAAATCGTTTCAGCGAACACTATGGTATTATGTCGGATCGCCGAAACTGTAGAAAAATGACAGGAAAGGCTGAAAGGACATGATCATTGCTAGCGTTCTGCCCTGGGCAAGGCAAAACATGACGTATGGATGAGCTCTGTAGGGATGCGTTGCAGTTCTCCTCCTCAGGTCAGATCACCTAAAATTGAGACACCACTCATTTGTTCGAAGCAAGCGTAGGACTAAGCCTAGACCCAATCATATACTCAAGTATAAGCCAATGTGTAAGTGTAAAGCCTAAGCCTAAATCCAAGCTTAAGCTTATGTTTCAATGATTGTGCGCAGTTCTGGTGAGCTGACCCTAGAAGGAGATCTGAACGTCTCCCACTGTATAGTAAGACAGTGGTTCAATTGCACGTCTTTCTGCAGATCCAGACTTTCAACGACCACATTTCAACCAACGAATGCGGTAGGTACTTTTACTGGTTGAGGCAATTTCCTTCCCGAATTCCATCAGTGGCAGTGGCAAAGAGTTGGAGGAACAGTGCGCCGAGCAGCCAGGCCGAAACGGCGTAAGAAACAGCATTACATTATGTCACTGGCGTCATACAGAAGCCATAGAATTATTACAAACTTCTTAGTACAACTGTACTAAAAAATATGAGTTCCGATTAGAGTATCAATGATGTGAAGAATTTGAAAATCAGATTATAAGTTTTAATACGTTTGCTGCCGGTTTTAAAAACCAAATGCTCCCTACTAGTAATTTCGAACTGTTTTCAAGGAGACTCCAAAAGGCGTAAATCGGTTTTGAAAATAACCTATCTATTATCATTTGTTCCGTGTGAAAGCTCAAGGATTACACATTAGAGACGCTGTCTCTTGTGTTCCAAACATGCGATTTTGGGATGATCGGTTACCGACTGGATCCCTCGAGTCGTCAAACGAACACCATGACGGCGCCCAATGGAGGAATTTCTTGACGGTTCTGAAATGGCGGGATAGAGGAAAGAGGATTTGCATCCCTCGAGCGAGGAAGGTCCACTGGACTGCTTTAGCATGCGCCCGGTCCTAGATCCGACGAAAAAGGGAACAACAGATGACACCGCTTCAACTTGGATGCTCAAGGAAGTGGCCAATGCAAGTATAACCACTCGCCTTGAAAAGGTAAACACAATTTTTTAAATCCTAAATTTGAAATGAGAAGTCCGGCAATTACTTCGGCGATGTCGATCTAAGGACATCGATCAAATCCTACTGAGTACTTGAACGCTTCCGCCTCTTTGAACATATTCCCTTGAAGCTATAAGAAAAAGGAAAAGCAAAGCACGAACAATACAGCGACATCCGAACTATTTTTTCATGTAGAGCGATTTGTGCTTATCTACCCGTCTTACACATACAGGGGTGGCCAAAAAAAGACACTTCACTCCACATTTCAGACAGCATTAATCACACTTTGCTAACTCAAACCGACTGCCCAACTTAGTATTAAAGAGCACATCCCAATCTATCAATAAACGTTATAATAGCTTTCTGCACCAAGGACATCACAAGAATTTGCCATGGGAACCTTGTGCACGGTTCGAGCTCAACTGGTCCTCGGCGGATCATGGACCATTGCGACGTTATCTGAAACGCTGGTCGGAAGGGGTCTTGCATATTTAGAGCTACTGTCCTAGGAAGCAATCTTTCAGTGAACCGATTAAAGAAATTTCGTAGCAGCTTCAGGCTGGAACGATTACGGTAGGCCTTCTTGAGCTAAACGGTGATGGAAGATGACGTCATATTTTG